GGGTACATGGACCCTCTGGGTCTACGTAGTTCAAAACACAAACTAAAGGAGCTTACTTGGAGGTTCACAGGGACTCATTGTGTAGGTTATTACGAATAATTGGGGTTATTCCAGGGCTTTGGAGGTGTCCATGCAGCGACCTCTGAGCGTCCCAAGAGGAAGAAGAGCAATTCGCAGGCCCACATATTCTAAGTGGAAACTGGGGTCATATAATGGCTGAAAGGGGATTGAAGCGGTGGCCAAAATGGCCAGAATAGGAAGTGGGGCATGTGATACTATAGGTCTTCCAGGATTGTAAGCGGGATGATGCTTTTAGGTGTTTAGGCCTCTGTCAAGGAAGTATGGCACAGTCCTCGGCGTTTGGGGTTCATGCAGGGAGGCGGGAGGCGTAATGCTCGTGAGCAGGCCTTCGCACCTTGAAGCAACTCCAGCTGCTTCATCCTTAGTTTTCCCGGGTTTTCCCGTGCTGTTCACCTACTGGCGCCTCTCGCAGGCTTCCTAAGGCTTCGCACGGCCCATCGCCTTTTCCGAATAAAAGAACAAAATTCACCCTAAATGTCACTCCAACCCGTCCACACCCACAACCGCCTAAGCGCCCCTTGACGTGCGGAGAAGGCACTCTCGGCATTTCACGATGAAGGGCGCTGCCTCAGGCCGACCCCACGTGCTGCCCACTAGCGGTCATGTTTGTCAGAACTGGGATGTAGTCAGGCAAGCTATGGTTGCAAGTCCCATGACTCATGGTCAAACAGCCAAAATACATATGGGAGTATCGCCCTATCACGCTGCACATGACGTTTATATACTGCAGAACACCAGCAACACGTGTGCAGGTGAATGCGCAGCACACTTCAAAGCAGTACCAGCTATGGATATCAACCAGTTGCGGAAATGGGTGAGCAGTCGCAATCGCAGAACAATCGTGCTAGTTGTTGCCGAAACTAGATGCTCGTCATTCCTGAAACCCTAAGGATCCAAGTACCAAATAGTCATATACTTACACAACCTGTACAATACTTACTACGCCCCAAATCCCAAATCCCTAATTATTGGGTACATGGACCCTCCTGGGAAACATCATGGTCCAAATAATAGGGACACCAAAGCTGCAGATGCTCTCCCTGGCACAATAGGTACTTGGAGGGTCAGGGGGACTTACTGAGTAGGTTAAAAACCCCTGTAACCCATATAGTAACCCCAATTATCCCCATCATTAACCCTAAGGGTCCAAGTACTCAAGAATCATATACTTACCCAAACCTATACTTACTATTACCCAAATCCCAAGTACCTTATTATTGGGTACATGAACCCTTTTGGGTAACCTAGTTATTAAGATTAGGGTTATATTAGGGTTCTATTGGGGTTATATTAGGGTTATATTGGGTTCCCATGACCCTTCAAGAAAGCATCCCATGGCTCTACATAATGCAGTCCCAGACCCCTGACATGATCTAAAAAATAGATCGCCTATATAGACCCATTATAACCTCTATATAATCCTCATAATAATTTCCCCTATGGTTTTAGGGGATCTAGTTTTTAGATCCTTTTGGGGGTCTGGGGTAGGAACCCTGCAATCTCTGCAGACTACATCTACGCACAAACAGGATGCCTCATCCTACGTCTCACGAATATGTAATCTAGGGAGCATATATTAGCTTTAGGGGCTATATAGGGGTCATGGCCCGGTCATGGCGTATGATGGGAATAACGAAGAATCACGTGGAAGAGAAAAGAAACAAAAAGGAAACTACTACGTTATTTGTGGTCTTGGGTTCTGGGATCGCTACAACAATGTTCTAGAATGCGTCCTATAAAAGCAAAAAGGAAGGACATCCAGGTCCAAAAAGTAGAGGGGTGGCAGGCATGCATTTCTGCCCGCCAAAGCCTTCGAGTAAGGAATACCATAGTTTCCACAAACTAGGGGCCCCAAGACAGACTCTAACATACTACAATCATCTATAGTCTTTAATATATAGTTTACCGGAAACCCCATAGAGGGGCAAGGGCGTGCCTGCAACCCTAACTACCTACAGCTTGATGGGTCCTATTGCTATACCTATCAAGTAGGAATGAATTACTACTAGGCTGTAGGCAATAAGGGTTCCAGGTAGGGTTTATAGGCTTTAGCTCTGCAAGATGATGGAAGGGTGAATCTGCTGCCAACTGGGCGGTTCAAGAACCGTGTGGGAATGTTCGGTTCAAGTCAGGGCTGCACCCGGTCAAGCTAACACCCTGGAATGCAGCAAATAGACAACCATTTTAGCTGCTTATCTGCCCAAGTGCTGAGAGGTTGAGGATCCGTATGCAGGCATGCATCGTCCGAATGGAGCCAGTGTAACTTCTCAAAACAGGCAACTGGAGCCAAACCATACCATGCAACAGAAAAGACTATGTGAAATAAGTCCCTAAACCAAAAGACCCCTGACATCCCTTATAAACCATGCAATAGCCCCACTTATTCACCTAATTACCCAGTCCCCTAACCCTACGCCCTAAACCAGTAGCCCTAAACCCTAAACCATCCTTTCGCAACAGGGCGCCAGGGCATCCCGCGGCGAAGTGCGATGCTCCGGGCGCGGCGTGAGCGACGAGCGCAGAAGGTCCTATCCCGCTGGCCGGGTTTACCCCAAGGCTCCATGTAGGTACGAGTACTATGTATAGACTTTAGGGCCAATGTAGGTGTTATTGAAAGGACTCAGAGCCCTAGGTTTAGCCTGGAAGGTTCTAGTTTTTAGGGTTTGATAGCTGCAGCTGGAGCAAAGCAGCCTCTACTGATATACCCCCATGAACACAGACAAGCTCAAATTCCAGAAGCCATCAAATCCTGGCACTCATCCAGCGAAATTGTTGGGTCCCGCGAATAAATCAACCAACCCACATCCCGAAGACCAACGGGCTTAGAGTTTACCACTTTGGGAATTCCACTTCATGTTCCATGTTCATGTCCGTTTGATTCGCCACGAATCCGCTGTACACATGTATATACATATATACATATATATCTAACTATACTTATACATACACATATGTCCCTGCATATCCCCTAATACCCAAACTCCCCAAACTGAAGGATAATTCCACGGCCAGAGGACCCCCGTGAGGTGTACAAAGCCGAAATAAGCTCTCACAACCCAAAGGCTCCATGAGGGTTTAGGGTTTAGGGTTTAGGTATATACTTGTGCCCTGAGATAGTTATATGGGAACCCCTTTGGGCCCTAAGTATATACTATATAGCTACATGGAGCCTTTGTGCAAGCCTACGTGGAACCACGGCCAGCCCTCACGGCAAAACCTAAACCTTAGGAGGATCCCCCACCCTGTCTTAGCAGTATAAGAAGAATATAATAGGACCCTAATACAGTCCTTATTATCCCTTAGAGTCACTATTACCGGGTGGGGGGTCCTCCTAACCTAAACCCTTAACCCTTGGCTGGTCTAAGGGTCCAAGTACCTCATGATGATATACCTACCCAAAACCTGTACTATAATTACTCTTGCCCAAATCCCAAGTACCAGTTATTGGGTACATGGACCCTCTGGGCTATTGCCAGACCTGAACCCTAGAAGGAGAACAGGTGCCTTTACGTCCTTGGACAGCGCTGTCCTTGGCTGCACAGTTGAAGCAAAGCGGTTGCGTGAGTTCAGAAGCAAATTCTTGCATGAGGCTCTGAACCCAATATTTCACTAGCATCCGCTGGAGCCCTAAACCCTAAACCCTCCAGGTGTATCTACAACTTGCTTGAAAACATCACTCCTTCGCTCCACACAACTATGCCCCTACCTGCTTGACCCGAAGCCCGAATCCATAGTGGATCACCAAATTAGGTCTAGGGTTTAGGGTTTAGGTTTTAGCCAACATTTTGATGTACTGTCCCGCAAACTGCACACAAAATGAAATACTGTATGTATACATATATATATATATATGTACAATGTACACATAGGAGTGATATAGGGGTATATAGGGGGTATAGGGGTATATAAGGGTATATAGGGTTTAGGGTTTGGGGCTCCCTGAAATATGGGGTACCATTTTGCGGGTCCCAGTAAGAGACACTATCATGCTTTGGTGTCTGTATTGAGTTCCCCTTATTTAGGGAAACTACCATATCTACTTTGGCCCTCATATCTTTACAAAATTGATTTCTTTTGATGGTTTGCCCCATGTCTATACAACAAATGGAGAATGAAATGGAAGAGAACATCGAAAATGAAATGGAAACTGGGGTTATGTAGGGGTTATCTGGGGCTCCATGTCTAGAAATAATACATTGGGCCACATTCCACATTGTCTATAAACAGTACCTACATTTGGCCATGTGGAGCCCTAGGGTTCCTCCTTTCTTCACAGCATCCAGGCCTTTTGGCCTGCCGTCCATTCACGGCACATGGTTCACAAAGGGCGAAGGATTTGAGAGTTTAAGATTCCGGGCTAACGCTTTTGGAGTTTAAGGCTACGGGTCAAGGGTTGAGGAGAGGGAAAGATTCTACTTAAACCCTCCGGCCTCCGGCCTTAAATCCTACACCCTATATAACCCCATCATAGTCCCTGTATAACCCCATTAAACTATAGTAGTTTCCATTTCTTTTCCATTATCCCTATATATCCCTAAATCCAAACCTCCGCACCTTGGACATGAAGGATGCCGGGAGGGATGCGTACTCAAACCAGGGTGTTAATAGTGGTATACTAGGAATAGAAGAGGGCCCTAATGTGAGCCCTATTATCCCCTATAGTCACTATTACTGGGTGGGGTGAGGTTCCGCGTAAGTTTACGGCTTAGGGATCGCCATTCCTACTGCTCCAGAAAGCGCGCACAGGCCAACCTGCTGCTCAAGCATTCGAAAAAATCTGTGATGACCCGTCAGCAGGGTTTCCCCCGGACCCCGGAAACCACCCTGAACTTCCCGCAAAGCTCTGAGATCTTGACTTGCAAATTCTGAAGCCTATAAATCTGTAATCTCGAAACTCAAAGCCCTGGACCCTGCAACAAGATCCTTCCGCCTAGATTTCTCCAGGAGCCTCCGCCAGCCATACATGGTTGCAATATGGCTGGTACTAGCACTGTTGGAAAAGGCCGTAATCCAAGTCGCAATACCAGGCAGAACACTAGCTCCCAAAGGCTCCATGTAGGTATATGGTATGTACTTAGGGCCCAAAGGGGTTCAGATATACCTACTTTAAGGCTTAAGTATGTCCCATATTCCTACATGGACCCTTTGGGGCTGTAGACGCAATCTCTTTGGGAAGCCTGGTGACTTTGCCTGAGTCACAGCATGCCCTGTACTGTAGATACGAGGCACAGACTCAGAGCTCTGTCAAAACTCGGGTCTCTTGTAGGATTCTGGGTTGGCCCCTAAAACCCTTTGAAAAATATTCGTATATTGGGTCCCTTATTAAAGCCGGTAGGGAAAATCTTAAGTATCCCAGGGGCCTACCCAGGATTTCAGGTTTAGCAGGTAAATGCCACAAACACTTTCCTCCCTAACATGATGAAACGGTTGCCCTCTCAGGCTATGTTTTTGGCAAACTCCCAGTAACCTCCTGCAAAGCACGCAACCCCATACAATCCATATTCACAGTAGAACATCGTGGTTCAAAATTTGTCAGTTAAGAATCTGTATCATTAGCGGGTTGGTGGGCTCTTTCATCAGGGCAGGCTTTGCTATCAGCGATATACTCTGAGGGTCCAAGACGTGATTATTATCTACTTGCCTCAGAATCTGCGCAATTTTTTTTAGTAACTAGTACAAAAATGCCAATTAGCTACTTACGGGTGCCTGGACCCAACACCCAACATGTCCCTATGAAGGGACTAAAGTGAATCAACCCTAAAGTGACTAAACCCTAAACCCCAAGGTAAC